GATTGGCCTCAATACACCAATGAAGAAGCAGAGCTGCTTAACAGTAGTCCTTCAGTTAAGGCTGGACTGAATGTGGCAGCACGCCATGACTCAAAAGTCCTCCTCACTGGGGCATCGTTCCCATCGTTCATTAGCTCCTCCATTTATAAGATTGTTTAAAAATAAACACATTCTGTACTTGGAATAGCAAAAACTAGCAATCATATGCTCTTTATGAGCAATCTATTACAGAAACCTCCACACAGGAACCCTGCATAAAAACATCCTCTCGAAAGCCAGCTTTTCTCCCTCCATTATGACATGTCAGCCAGTGAGTCTCACACTTAGAAAGCAAAGGGACTCCAGTGTGAAATGACTTTAAATAACAGATCAGAAAGAAGTCCTTACCGTTTCATTGTTTACCGGGAGGTCATAGCGTTTTGGGTAAAAACCTGAATCACAGAGTAAACACATGTTGCTGTATGCACACCAAGCAAATTGGAGGAGTTTGTATGACTGTATCCTGAGATCTCTTTCCATGTTCATGTTGCCGCTGGATTGGCAAGTGTCAGTGTCTTTTTTTATGTTTTATTTACAGATTTATTAAAACTTCAACTTGTACATCTTGTAAATCTCTTTTCATTTGAATTGGCAGTGTTTGCCATGATATGGTATGAAATGAAGTAGGATGTACTATAATACTGTTCTAGACAAGAATAAGTCTTTCAAGAATCTGCTTTACTTTGGGCAGCACATGATAGTTTAGTTCTTTGGCCAGACTGGAACATCCAGTTGCTGCAAAATGTAAGTATTCATGTGCTGAAAATACCATTTTGACTTTGTCAGGTGGCTGCACAGATGATAATTTTCATGCTCCTTTGTCAGTTCTAGGTATCACACCAAAGTTGATTCTCTGTGGACTTTAACACCCCATGCATGACAGTGACGCCATATCCCAAAATCTGTACTTTTACAACAATCTACAGCCTCCTATGCAAAAACTTTGTACTTTTCACATCAGTCATGCATCTAACTGTATCTACCCATTTTCCAACTGCATATCTTGATGTTTAACAATGATACACCTCTAACATACAAGAATGTATCAATTGTAAATGGATGTTTAATGGTTCCATTAGGTCTCATTCGCTGCAGAGCAGGACAAAAGGCTGCTTCACATCCATTAAAAATCTAGAACCTTGCATCCTTTAAATATCTAGAAACAGCAAATGGTAATGAGTTCTTAGATGTATATTCAGGCTGTTAATTCGGCTCCATCCTAATGAGGAGGAACACTAAGTCAGCTAAGGAGAGGCTCACTCTGCCTGCTAACACCACACACCTTCCACCCTCCACACAGTAGCTATCATGCCTGACCTATGACTCCTTCTCTGAGTGTACTCCTTAGTTCCTCCCCTGCAAGGGTCCCAGTTCGCTGAATCCAGCCACCGGAAGTGGTGCTGGGGGCTTCTTCCCCGACTTTGTGTCTGCCACTGGAGAGGAGAGGCGCTGGTGGTTCAGCAGGGCGAGGAATTTGAAGCGCTCGCCCATCTTCTTCGGGCTGGTGAGCATATCGAAGCCCTGGAGCAGGTGCCGCTGAGTAAAGGCGTTGGGGCAGTTCTGCAGCAGAACCTGGGGAGATGCAGAGCGGTGAATCCTGTAACAGGCCATGCGGCGATGATGACCATTCTGCTTCTACTCATTGTGGCTTAAGCCAGGCAAGAGCACAGGTCAGTGGCCCACCTGCAAGCGGATGCTGATGCCCATGTTGTGCAGGAAGTGGCGCTGCGTGATGGGGCCGAGGCAGGCCACCCCGGTACCCGCCATCCTCCGCAGGTAGCTGAAGTCCACGTCGGCTGTCAGGTCTGCGGTGCCCGGGGCCTCGAGCGGGTCATGAAGCTTGTGACCTCGAAACCCCTTTCAATTCACAAAAAGAAGGAAATCCTCATGACTCTCCCCCCAGTTGGTTATATTTCTTTATCATGGATGGATGGATGGATGGTTGGATGATGTAATTAGCCTATGTGTAAACATGCATAGATAGATACATAGATAAATAGATACTTTACTATGTACTATAGCAGCCTGCTTTATTTGAAAATCAGTTATCTGACAACAGGAAGTCAAACATGACTAGTAAGGGCTTTGTGTAACGAAGCACTGACTCTGAACGTGTCTGTCTTAGTCCCATCGTGTCCGTAGTCTGCGATAAGAGCCGCGCCCCCGTATTCTGCAATGCGATTGGTCAGCTTCTGAATGATGACTCCCCCTTCAGGGCAGACTTCCACATGCGTTCTCTGCTCATCTGCCTTGGGGAAGAGGTCAGGCGCTGGTTACTGGGGGTACCAAGTTCTTGTGATGAGGGTGCTATTTCCCCATCAGCAGGGATATGACAATCATCCTCCGGATCCTCTCAGAGTAAAATGTAAGGAGTTCACTTGCTTCAACATTAAACTCTCTATGGTAGTACATTTCAAAGCTTCTACATTGAAATCATATGGGTTTCTAATTTATTTATAGTTAGCAGATGCCTTTGCCCAAGGTGATTTATTTTCATATAACCGCACATCTCTTTATGGTTTATCCCTTAACTATACCAGCTGATGCCATTTGAGAGATAAAATAAATTAGTAGTAGTTATTTAGCAACCTGCTTACTGTAAGTAACTTTAAACTAAGACTGGTTCCTTGAAAGGAAATAGAGGACTTTAATCCTTTTTTCATATCATAACTCAACATACACCCACGGAGAAAGAAGGTCTTAACACAGGGCTGAAAAAAAACAAATTTTACTTTAATTATCCATTAGATCCACCTGTATGAGAGTAGAAGATGCCAGAGTCGGGGCTGGAATTAGCACAAATCGCAGCCTGTCTGCCATGTCTGGATCGATGTCCACCATGACCTCCCGCCAGCCGCGTTCTGTTCTCTGCCCAATCAGAACCAAAACAATCATTTTAAAGCCATTCCTGGAAAAGCTTATGCTTGCTCATCATTTTTGATCTTGTACTTTAACCATTAAAATGGTGCACAGAAAAAAAAATACCTGAAACTTGTGGATAGGTAAGGCATCAAAAAACTCATGAGCGAGGTAGAGACTGAAGCCTGGTTTGGAGAGAGAAACAAACGCCTATGGATGCTTGTACTATCTGCTATCGCCCAGCATTCCTGTTTTACGGCTATAGCGAGCACAATCCAGCTCACCCACTGGCACATCTTCAATCCTGCGGTACCAAGAGACGGGCAGGCCAGTGGCTGTGGTCCCCCTGCGGTAAGCGGGCTCATTCTCGTCCCTGGCGGATTGGCTGTCCTCTCCAGTTAGGTTTTGAGCCTGAACCTGGCTGAGCCTGGGACTCACCTCCACCAAATGCACAGACAAGTTTGTGCTTTGCAACAGTGCCCCCAGCTGGCTGAAAACCTGCAAGTGCATAAGGGCAGAAAAGGTTTTGTGAGGCTTTTGGGCTTTATACCTCGGAAAAGAGGGAAATTTCACTAGATAACTGTTGAATTATACTTATATTACAATTATACAATCAATCCCATTACTTCTGTTGTTCCCTATACAGCCTCAGCAGGTCTCATTACTAATTACAACTCATGTTAAAAGCAACATTCAAAACAACAATTTCCAATTTTATATCGTAATGAGATGGACTACACCCTTACAGTAGGTGGCCTGACAGTCACCCCAAGTGTACCATTATATATGCAAGCCAAAGTGAAACTACTTTTTAAAATTTTTAAAACACACGGGGGTTAGATGGTTACTTTTAAACCCACCCGGAGAATGTCGGTGACCAGCGAACCCCTGCCAGGACCAAACTCCACCAGCTGGAAGTGTTTGGGTTTTCCAGCTGCCATCCACTCGCTCACACACCATATGCCAAGCAGCTGCCAGAAGAGTTATCAAAACAAGATTATGACAGTAAATTGGCAGAATTACAACCACAGTTTATGTGTACCGTTTTCTTTATAACGTGTTCATAAAAACAAAGAGATCGAAAGAGAAAGAAATGAGGAATGACTGACCTCTCCAAAGATCTGACTGATCTCAGGAGATGTTATAAAATCTCCGTCTGCTCCTAACATATCGTTGCGTACGTAATAGCCCTAGAAATGGGAAAAAAAATGATAGCTCGTCTGATGAACAGCACATTATGCAAAGAGCAACGCCGTTACGAATACAGCAATCTTTAGAAAGCATTAACGGCGGATCAGGACAGTACCGAAACGGGGTTGGCGAGAACCTCTTTCATGTACTCTGCTACTGAGATTGGACCTGTTGCCTTGATTTTTGATGTCAGGTGTCTGAGCACTGAAATGTTACTCGATTCATTTTGAGGTGAAGAACAGAAGCAACATCTCTGCAATCTCCACCTTAAAGCTACAAGGGAAAGATTTTTTTTTATAAAATTGACGTACATAGATCTAATTGTATTTGCCTGACTTCTGATAACCTATATTTGTTATAAATTTACTAATAAAATGTAAATACATTCGTTACCATTAAACTACCGCGCTACATGTTCAAGAAAAAGGCATTTTAACTTTACGTTAACATCGAACGTACCGAGTACCCCAGGAGCTTTGACATGTACAGATGGCTTCCGCAGACTATTTAGTTTTAAAAACATCCTCATTTTAGAAACTGTGTAAAGGCATCAAAATTCTCCTCAATGTTACAGGAAAGCCCGCAGAACTATTGTTTCTGAAATTAAACTAACATCAAATTTGCCATTCACTGCCATTCAGACTAAACTGTTATACATGAGACCGACATAATTCACAAATCACGTAATTAGCCTGTGCGAGTGTCTAAAGAGCACAAATCAGTACAGATATTCTCCAAATATGATGCTCAGAAACGTGTTTCAGTAACGTGAACTTTGACCCTAAGTGACGAGTTCCAGCTTGTAGGTCCTATCAGGTCCTACAAAAAAAAAACTATAATTTCGTAGAGATGCTGGAGAAAAATGATAATTTAAATATTTCAAGTGAAACAAACATATATAAACTTAAAAATTAAGAAATATGCCTATATCTTTGTCTATCTTTTAAGTCAAATTTAATATTATAGTATCCTTCCAGGTCCTGTGCTGTTGCGCTGTACAATGTTTTCCAGCATGGCTCCAAAACGCAAGCGAACTAAAATGGACCCACAAAGGTTTAATTTCGTTAAGGAACAGGACATTGAAAAGGAGGAGGTTGAAGCAGACGATGTATGTGAACCTGGAAAGGATGATGAGGAATTTAATCTGCAGGAAGTTTTGCGTTTGGGAGGCACAAGAGTAAGTTAGCCGGTAGCCCGCACAGCAAGTCTACGACTTTTTTGAGCATCCACGTGTTAATCATCTGTAAAAATTAAACAACACCGAGCGAGTTTTTGTTACGCTGAGGACTTGTATAGTGACTCTTTATCTTTATCTTGTGCAGAAATAGTGTTGTATTACGTTATGTTGATTGTTTTTCAGTTGATTTATTTGGAGTTATGCGTGCACGTACATTTTCGTAGGAGGTGTGAGTTGTTTATTTTAAGAAAACCCCATCTTCAAATTAAATAAACGCCTGTGGGGCATATTTACTATCGAATAAAGTTTCACCCTATCTAGTATTATACATATGTAGATTTTTCTTAGAGATTATGTCCCACAATTGACAGCAATGTTACATTTAGACTAGTTACATTTTGATAGTGAAATTCATTATTATAGTCATCTATACAAATGGCAAATGAAGTATATGTCACCACACTAACACATTAAGTTTCTACTCGTAATCATACATATAAGTAAATATACCGTTGTGTTTAAACAGGCAGATTATGCCATGCTGGTCTCTGTAAACGACTGCAATGAGCTCATTGACGGCGGAAAGAAAGATTCCATCGATGATCTGAAAGAGGGGGAGCTTCAGGACTTCATCACCAAACTGGGTATACGGGCATACAACCCCCTTCAAGTAATACAGGAAGAGCCTGATGAGCAGCAGATAGAGGTTGGTAAGAATGGGATGAGGAAAAATGTGGAGGCAGAAAAAACACAGAAAGTTCCAGAGAAAGTCCAAACAGATTTACAGGATGGACCACAAACAGGAACCACAGACAAAAATAAAACCAAGAAGTCCAAAGAAATATTAAGTAGTGAGGTTCCTAGGAAGAAGATCAAGATGAATGCCAACGTTTTTGATTTCCAGCTGAGACAGATACTACTTATTAAGCCTGGGGGCAAGTGGTTTGATCTGGAGTACACCAATGAGAGCAATTTCACTCCACAAGATGAGTCTCTTGTATCCAAATACAAATGCCTGGCTCAGAAGTTGTTTGAGGCTGAAACAGAACATTTCAAGAGCAAGAAGCACTCAAACAAGGGTGCCAGTTCCACTTGGATGAAGACGGTGGTGTCCACAGGGACTCTGGCTGACAGGATGGCAGCCATGACATTGCTGATACAGGATGCGCCGGTCCACAACCTGCAACTTGTGGAAAACCTGGTGTCGCAGATAAGGAAGAAAGGCGGTCGTCGCCAAAGCCTGATGGCCCTAGACACCCTAAGGGAACTTCTGATGTCTGATCTGCTCCCAGAGAACCGCAAGCTCAGGACGTTTTCTCAGCATCCCTTTGGCGACCTGGAGAAGCTGTCCAGTGGGAACAGGGACGCCCGTGATCGCAGGCTTATCCTCTGGTACTTTGAGCACCAGCTGAAGCACCAGGTGGCAGAGTTTGTGGTGTCACTTGAGTCTCTGGCTCATGATACTGTGGCAGACACCAAGGCCCAAGCCCTGACTACAGCACATGAGCTGCTGTGCAACCGCCCTGAGCAGGAGAAGGCCCTGCTCGCCCAGGTGGTCAACAAGCTGGGAGATCCCGAGTACAAGATGGCAGCCAAGGCCTCCTACCTCCTTGACATGCTACTGCATAAACATCCCAATATGAAGGCAGTGGTCTGCAGTGAGGTCGAGCGGCTAATGTTCAGGCCAAACATCAGTTCCAAGGCGCAGTACTACGCTGTGTGCTTCCTCAACCAAATGGTGCTCAGCCACGATGAGGCCGACCTGGCAAGTAGGCTCATCTCCATCTACTTTTCCTTTTTTCGTGCGTGCATCAAGAACAAGGATATCGAATCGAAGATGCTGAGTGCCCTGCTTTCGGGCGTCAACCGGGCGTACCCATATGCCAACGTGGGCGATGACAAGATTAAGGAGCAGCTGGACACCCTATTTAAGGTGGTGCACTTGGTGAAGTTCAACACCGCCATCCAGGCTCTCATGCTGCTTTTCCAAGTGATGGACTCCCAGCAGACTATCTCTGACCGTTACTACGTTGCCCTTTACAAGTGAGTGTTGTCTTGCTGCAACTTGTAAGCAAATGTAAAAATATTAACCAGAAAATCTTTAGGTTTAATGTAGGGCTGCAACAACTAATTGATTAAATCGATTAAAATCGACTATTAAAATAGTTGGCAACTAATTTAATAATCGATTAGTTGGGTCTACGTTATTATACGGAAACGGTAGTATTTGACGATAATTAGCTGAAATTAGGTCGGAGAGACACTGATGTATTATGTGACGTTGTGGAGTTTTTGGATTATTTTATGCAATTATTAAGATTAATGCAAATCATTCAGTGGTGTAGTGGAGGCTAAATGCACATAAACGCCATTTACGCACCTTTTAAATTTATAATGCACCTTTTTTGAGATCACTAATGTTAAGGATGTGAATAGTTACCCACCGCTTTGACTGCTGTGCATATTGTTTACCCACCTTAAATTTCTTGTTACCACTACACCACTGCTTCATTTCTTCATGATAGAAATTTATCATATATAATATTAAATGTTGTAGTACTCAAGACCCGTTTTTGAAGGTCTCGATCTTGTCTTTGAATCAGCCGTATTTGCGCCCATTCTTGTCGTGGACTCGGGATTTCATTTCGAGGCCACAACTCTGAGAATATTCCTATTAATGAGCCGTTTACTGTCGGATTGGATAACTTCTCACTTCAAGTGCAACTAATGATGTTACTGCCAACCGCGTTACCCGCCCCGCCCCTTCATACATGCACATGTGCACATGAACACAGGTGAAGCTGTGGTTGTCTGGGAAAGATGTCAACACAATCGGCTATTATCAAATGTAGCTACATACACCACAAAGTGTTTACCCTACCATTCTATTAGGGGTGCGCCCCAAGTTAATTTTATTTTCTATATAGCGCCAGATCACAACAGAAGTCATTTAAGGCTACCTTTCCTATAGAACAGGTCTATATCTTGTTCTTTTATTAATTAAACAAGCTAAATAACATAAGGCTATTTATCTTATTTACAGTTCATCACTGTAGTATGCGCACACAACTGGACACGTTTTAAAATGAAATTTACCGCCTGCCGTTCACAGGTTTTTCCTCAACAATCGTCTTATTTGCGCCATTCAGTCACTAAAGTCTATGGCAGGGGTCTCCAATTCCGGTCCTGGAGAGCTACTATCCAGTAGGTTTTCAATCCTACCTGGGTTCTGATGAGCCACACCTGTTCTCAGGTAAATACCAGGGCCAGGTGTGGCTCATCAGAAGCCAAGTAGGATAGAAAACCTACTGGATAGTAGCTCTCCAGGACCGGAGTTGGAGACCCCTGGTCTATGGCATTTCACGAGAGTGCAAGCCGGCACATTTTTAGCGTAAAATGCAGGAAAGGCTTTTTCTCCGCAATGAATGTTTACTTTGTAATAAATGTGGACGCGTGCTCTCTCCCCCCGTCACATATGTGTATCAACATTAAATAACATTAGAGTATTATTTAATAATATTCTAAGTAGCAGCAGCGGTAGTCTTTTACATTAAAAAACTGGAGTACTGAATACATTATCTAAAGCACCATGCTGGTTGCACTTCATAAAAAAATATTTTGTTTTTCATGACATTGATTCAGCTGCTACAAATTTTTTTATTCTTCTGTACTCTTAATGTAGCATACATTTATTTTTATGTGAGTTGCTGGAAACAACCTTTGCACAAAGACAGTTTGGGTTATTAAAGAATGCTGGAAATCGAATTGGTTTTTGTCCCCCCCCCCCCCCGATTAATAATGGATTAATCGAAAAAGTAAGACAGATTAATCGATTATCAAAGTAATCGTTAGTTGCAGCCCTAGTTTAATGGTAATTTAGTCCATTTCCTTGGAAGGATCCATATGTTTTTTGGTTGTGTTTGAATGATGCCTTTCTTCTATGACCCATGTGTTTCCTGCATACCCTTGCATGTGACAGGAAGCTGCTGGACCCAGGCCTCTCGCAATGCTCCAGGCACGGCATGTTCCTCAACCTGCTGTACAAGTCCTTGAAATCGGATGTGGTCTTGCGAAGGGTGAAGGCTTTTGTGAAGAGGTTGTTGCAGGTCAGCTGTGAGCAGAATCCCACTTTTGCCTGCGGGGCACTTTTCCTGGTGTCAGAAGTGATGAAGGCCAAGCCTGGACTCAGGGTCTTACTGCAGGACAGCAGCGTGAGTATTGCCCTGGTCTGAGATGATCAGAGCAACCACTGAAGTATCGTCTGTATAAAAAAAAATTACATTATATTGCTTAACGTTGATTTATACTTCTCCGTCAAATTGATGCTGTTAGTACCACATAGCCGTAGACCCTACACTGCAGCCTTCAGCGTAGCCTGATATGCACCTCCACAGTGATGTAACTACACATCACTGCAACACAGACCACAAGAACTGTGATTGGGCCACTTGGTAGCATTCATTTTTATTATGGGACCAAAGAAAACATACATCCCAAGTGTACTTATCCCTGATTGATACTGAGGTGCTGCTTAAATCTAGCATTAAATAACCCACCCTAAGCATTATAGCAACAGGTCTACAATACGCTCAGGATGACAGTGCCAAATTCCCTTACCTCCATTATGTTTACTCCCACTTAAAAAAAATAAAAAGGAGTATAGACACTAAAAATTCATAAAAAGTTACTTTGTAGTGGCCCAACATTATTCCAAATTTGTCTACAGGATGTTGGGAGCAGCACAAATATAACTAGGACTCGATAAATAGATACTTTATTAAATGTTTGTTTTTTTCTGTTTCAGTTGCATGTTTCAATAATTGAATGTATCGCAGGATGGGGAGACAATAAATGCACCATCCAAAACTATGTATCACCAAACATTTTGACGGTGTGATTGTTGAGTGACACAGGCACCCTTGCAGACAAGTATAAATGCTCACCACGGCATAGGTCACTGCATAGGCTTGATGCAGAAGTATAAATCAGCCTTTAGTGTAGTTTAATTCTACATTGAATCCCCTTTTTTTTTTTTTTTACTTTACAAAAAAAAACATAATTTCTACCTTTGCTGTGCAGGGCTGTGAGGAGGAGACTTTCAAAGACGTGGTGAATAATGATGATGATGATGAAGAGGAGAGGTTTACTGATGCAGATAAGGTGGAGGAAGGGCAGAGCGCCAAACCAGAGAAAGCCAAGGAGGTGGCGTCTTGGGTACACTACCAGAATCTCGAGGGTAAGACCTGTTTTTCTGCCTGCTTGTATGACCAGGAAATAAATAATTTATTTTTTCCTTTAAAAAGGAACTGGAAAAAAATCAGAATTTGAATGTTAGCCTGAATTAAATTGTTTAATCAGTTTGTCAGTCTTTGCCTGCAACAGAATTGATTTCTCATATATCATCTTGATTATTATCTTTCTGTTCAGGGGCGAAGACGTTGGAGACCTATGACCCGTTACACAGAAACCCTTTATTCTGCGCGGCTGACCGCACCACACTGTGGGAGCTGCACAGGGTCTGTTGCTAGACTTTCACTGGGCAAATCACAAATCAGTACTTGATTTTTATTTAATTTTTTTTTTCTTTCTCAGCTCTGTGCACACTTCCATCCATCCGTGGCTCTCTTCGCCCATACTATCTTGAAGGTAGGGGGCCACATTTTCAAAAGCAGCACATCGCTGCGTTAATCGTTTCCTACTTACGGACGTGATGTATGTTAAAGCAGATGTTTACATTTCTGTCAGACAAAGAATCCTTTGGGCTTCCACTTCCTGGTTATTCTTATTACCGCTTCCCTTCAGGGTGACTTTATCCAGTACACAGGTGACCCTCTGCAGGACTTTACCCTCATCCGGTTCCTGGATCGTTTTGTCTTCAGGAATCCCAAACAGCAGAAAGTTAGAGGTATCCCTGGTGTTCCTCATTCTCTCTTCTCTTTCCTAAGCTGATATGTATGTATATTTTAGTTTCTCTGTCTCAGGGTCAGTTTGTGTTTATGAGGCTCCTTTCTCTTCACGGCTCCTTTCTCTTCACTCTGCAGAAAACATAGACAGTACGGTGATGCAGGCCAAACACAAGCTATCCATGAGCAACAGCCGCGCTTTGCCTGGTAAATTCCCTCTGCTCTCTAGTGGTACCTGGATTCTTTTCCATTGTTTAAGTCAAAACTCAAAACCCATCTGTTTAAATTGGCTTACTCGCTTTAACCCAATTGATGTCTGATTATGTAAATAACTTTTTAATTTTGTTTTTATTGTTTGTCTTTTATGGGCTATGAAAGGTGACCTTGGGTTTTAGAAAGGTGCCCACAAATAAAATGCATTATTATTATTATTATTATTATTATTATTATTATTATTATTACACAATCCAAAATGAGCTGCCTCCTCATCCATGTTTTGTTTTTGTCGCGGAAAAAGATGTTTTTCTTATTTTCTAAGTAAACTCGGTGGAGTTCCTGGCAAAGGACGAGAGCCAAATCCCAGTGGATGAAGTGTTCTTCTATCGGTGAGAATGTTACACTTTGTGTCTTCAGTGTTGGCCCAGAGTAATATGGCTGATGTTGCGGTAGAGAATGTGTAATTAACCCCCCCTCCTCCCCGACCAGGTTCTTCAAGAGACGTGAGAAGGATAAGTGGCAGTATCGCAGGAAAGACAGAGATGATGAAAGTGTGGAAGAAGTAGATGACGATGAGTTTGAGAAGGCACTTGGTAAGGTTTATGATGCTGTTAATATCCCACTGTTTTGACCAAATAAGTGTTAGATTTGCTGGAGTGGAACATTCTATGTGTTTGGTTCACTTCACCTTAAGATAATTCAATCAGCCTTAACTTGTCACAATCCTGAATTTTCTCAATAATTTTATGTAATTTAATTTTTCCTGGCAGATTCATTTGAAGGTGATAGTTACTTCACAGACTTAATGGACAACGGTCTTGACTTTGCTGGGTGAGTCAGGGTGGCTGTTCAGATTGCAAAGGTCCAAGGCTCTTGTTGAATTTCCTGACACACAATGCACAGAAAAATATGATCAGCCCCCCACAGGCCACAAAATTCACTGTCAGTGTGTAACTCCATCATGTCCCAATTCCAGTAATGTGAAGGGCAAAAGTAAAAAGAAGAGACAGATTGAGGATGAGGACGACTCTGACTCTGATCTCGATGTGGATGACCTGGATGATGAAGAGGTGTCCCTGGGCAGCATGGACAAGGAGGATTTCGGGGATGAGCTGGAGGAGGATGGAGGGATGTTTATGGATCTAGGAGGGGAGGAGGAGGAAGGAGCAGGTAATGGAGGTGACATCACTTAATATGACCATAGCTGTATTACACCTAATATTATGCCTAGTATTACACCTTATTTTTTTGTATAGATTCTGAAGATGAGATGAATGTGGTGTCAGAAATGAGTAAAGCGTCTAAGAAGGGCAGAAAACAGAAGTTTGATGGGCTGGACTTCGCTGGTGGACTCGGTAATCCTGCCAGCTATGTGGCTGTGTGTGTGGGGGAGTGTGTCTCTGCAGCCACGGTGCTGGTGGTGCTGCCAGACTTTTTCCCAGGCCGGCACTGGTTCCATGTGTTTCCACCGCAAAAAAATGGCCCTGGGCCAGAAAAAACAGCTCTGGCACAGCACCACAGAAAAGCTGGTTTCAGAATTTGGCACCATGACGTCAGTGAAAGTGGGATGGGCTGTTTTGTCCTTTAAGGGGACAAAAGTGCATACAGGGTGCAGCGAGTCAAACTTTTTTTTCAGTTCGGCAAAATAAATCCAAAAAACCAAATACTGATTAATTTTACTTTCACTTCCACGTACGTAGCATTTCTGTTCCATTCTTTTTTGAAACCTGTGGAAACACAGGCTGGTTCTCAAAAGGCACCAAGCGAGAACCAGCCCAGCAACAGCACGAACTCCATGTTGGTGGAAACAAGGCATCTGTGGCTAAGGATACTGTTCCCATGAATGGAAGGTTGTCGGTTCAAATCTCATCAAATTATTTAACTAATGAATTATTTAAGTGGGCTGGGGGTGAATTTTAACAAATACTTTGAAGGGCGGTCGTGCTCATCTAGCCATCTAACAAGAATTCAGTAATTTTTTGGAGAACAAAAATATTGTTTTTATTGTGTTAATTTGCACGTTGTAATATTAAATTGTCTTTATTTTGTGAACAAATATATACTTATTACCCAAATAAATCTGTTTAGTATGAATTGATCAATATGATGCAAATTAAGTGTGCTATATTCTTTCATCTCAGGAACACAGTCAAGGCAAAAGAAGAAAGAAGCTAAGAGCAAGGATAACATGTTAGCCACTGCAGAGGAGGTACAATGTTTAGAAAGTTTCTAATTGTGGGTCTAACACATTATGGTTAAAACAGACAGTTAAACATTAAGTACTCTAGAACCCCATGAAGGATAAAACAAAAAAGGCCACATCTGTTCAATTGCTTGTCAGAAGGACTGAATAGGACTTTAAGGTTTTTAAAGTCACATGAGATTTGTGCATTTATCTGCAGAGACTAATCCACTGTCAGCTCAGTTACTGATTCATGTTTGTAACCCCCACCCCTTAACAGTTTGGGTATCTGCTGGATGAAAATGCTGGATTAAAGTTTGACAACATTGGCATGGATGCCATGGCAAACAGAGACCAAGCAAGTGAGTAACATTCCTGGAACACCGGTCACTGGGGTGCCGCATGAATTACAGCTCAACAGAACAAGTCAAAGACTTCAGCAGAGGATCGCAGGAATACAGGCTCTTTATTTCAAAAGCTAGATGCCAAGCCATGTTAGGCGCTTTTTCCATTGAAAGTCGAGGAGAGATTATACTAAAGATTAGCTGCACGTCCAGTCACATTGTATAGAACTGCAATAAAAAGGTTTTATTACCTTGTCAGACCAGGAAGAACAGAATTTTTAGCCTTGCCTTAATCTACCTTGGGTACACTAGGTGCTGTTGTTTTTAATTACACTGATAAATAGTACAATTAGGCTAGATGACAGGTCCAGCAGTTTGTCTTTTGATTCAGTGGTGTCTGCGATCCCTCTTCAGGCCTCAAACAGCTCAAGTGGGAAGTCCAGCGGGACGACTGGCTGCACGGCAGAGACGCCAAAACGCTGAGGAGGAAGAAGGCCGCCTTCCAGAGGAGGAAACAGTCTGGCAAAGTGGGGAACAAAACAAGAAAAAAGTAGTAGCTGCTGATTGGCCGGTCCTGGGCCAGGCAGGAGATTGGCGGCCCTGCTGTTTGTTCCTGGGGGCTCCCATGCCACCTCTGCTCTGCTCAGGGATCTTGCATTACTTCTTGGAGGACCATGCCTCCAGGTCGCTCTCCCGGATCCCGTACATCCCAGCCCACTCATTAGACTTGTAATAGACTGAAAGGAACCAATCACAGGATAAGATGTTAGCCTATGAACACTGGCATTCCAACAATAAAGATTTGTATGAAACTTGTAGGCTCCTTCAGAAATGTTTCTGATCTAATCTTTGTATACCTCAAACTTTCAGATATTTGATCCAGTCAAATCTTAATATGGTTTAAATCATTTTGTATAAAGCCTATAAGCTGGAATTTGCAGCTGTATATAATTTTTGTTTCAAGAAGCAACAAATACAATGTTACTTTTAAAACTAGTTTAGTAGACAATCTGTACCTCTTGTGTTTTCTAGTTTGCTGGTGATAAGTCATCAGTGTTTGTCTACAAGATATAGAGTTTAAGTACATTAGGATGTTTCCTTGATGTCTATGAATTTGGCTTCAGTCCTCACTGCCAATCAGCTGGCACCAGGGGGTGGGGCTAAGCTCTGACTGGAAGAGAGATGAGATCCTTTCTACTACTAATCCACAAGCCTAGGATTGTCTTGATGGCACAGGCAAGTCAATAAAGATCATTTCCTTCCCATAGCTTTTGGAATAAAAAATCTAAATATGCCAAAGTTAAAGGCTTGCTGACAGACCTGAGCAGGGTCCTTATCTAGCTCACAGTAAAAAAATCTACTTATTGTTTTAAAACATGATTCATTCACAATACTTTAACAAAATGTGCATACTTGACTTCTGTTTTGGACAAAAATAGCAATTTTGATCGACAGTAATCCACAGACAACCCTGTAGTATAAGCACATCAAAGGTCTGAGAACATTCTGAAAGTGACTTTACAAGGCTCTTCTTTTTTGTTAATGAGTCAGCTCAAGTATGCCATGAAAGCTTAAAACCAGTATTTTTTTTAGTAGTTTTTTTAGAACATCCACAGTATTGTACAGGGATACGGTGCTTATAAAAGACAAATCTAAATCTTCAGATTAAGATGTCAATTCCCATTGCACCTTGTTGTTCACCACAAATCCATGGTGCTATAAAATGGATCTGGGAGATCCAAATTAGTTTCGCACCACCTGGAGGTCGGTAGAGCAGTGAAAAATATTCGAGGGTCCATAGTTACTTATCTCGCATTAGGGGCACCTTCTGGTCCATTTTAATTTTGGAATCCCTGGTATATGAAAAGGATAAAACCCCTAATCTTGATCAAGTGTAACGATAATTTATCATCAGTGATCCACATGCCCAATTAAGAAGGAAACAAAAATACGCCATAAAGATGATAAATGAGCATTGTATCTCCCTTTAAATGTTACAGCACGTGACCACGACGGATGATGGTGTCATTACCTTCGAGCACTGCTGGAAAACTCTTGTTCATAGTATACCTGAAATCTGAGACACCGATGATGAGAGTATGAATGACCCACACTCAATATGTTAATTTCCGAATGACAATATAATAATAATAATAATAATAATAATAATAATAATAATAATAATAATAATAATAAATGAAAACCTTGGCTGGTATTCATCTTATGAAAAAGAGAATAGGCCCCGACAACTCCAGCAATTTCTAAAAACAGCACCCCTTTGAAGAACTTCCGGGAGAAGGGTTCCATGGCTCTACGAGTCATCTCCGATTAACAAAAGGAAACAAACTACCTAGCGATTTCTCACAATTATCACTCACATACATGAAGCAAATCACTGTTGCGGTAAGCTAAGAAAACATCAATATATACGTAAACGTAATACATTAGTAAGTCTAAAGACTACACGACTGAGTCGGTTATTTACAAGTAATGTGTAAAACAGCTGTTAAGTTACACTGATTCAATCACCGAAATGAACAAGTCTTGATTAAGCCCACGACATGTGAAATAAACCGTCTCTATGACTTTCCTGCTTCAAGCGCCCGTGTACCTACTGCCCTCTGCGTCCGTGTTCTACGAAGTACGGATTCCGAGAGGGCTCATAAAGGTCGAGTTGGATAGACGTGTGTGGAGTATCTTGTGGAAGATACACCATTTGCACGTAGGAAATTTTAAGACCCTGGTTTCACTTGTTTGGTAGAACAGGTCAGCCTTTCATTCCTTAAAAAATGTGTCTTTAAAAAGGTGGTTTCTTTTATGAAAGATGCATATGTCCATAAAATTATGCAAAACAATGCAAATGTGACCAATGAATCTATATGATATTCACATACATGCTGACTGCATTTCTGTGTATTTTTTACGAGTGGACACTACACACAATCTATTGAGTCTGCTCACAGTCAGTGTTGGGTTTTTTGGGTAATTTATGATGAACAGCAGCTCCAGTCTTCACAAGCTACACAGTATACTAGCTTCACTCAGTCTCAGGTCTTAATTGCTTTATTGAAGTGGTTATTTAGATAGCAGGTCACCTGACTGGGTCATTTAGCCCTACTCTTACCCTAGGGTCGGCACCGACCCGTTTTCAAGTTTTAATGCATAAAGGTCCCACATACATTTTGTTTACTGCATCAAGGCTTTTTCTTTTTTCTGAAACTTCCATTTAAACAAAAAAAAATAAAAAAAAATAATTAATTTTAATTTCTCTAATCAAAAATTCACTGCCTGTGGTCTTAACGGGTCGGCCACGACCCAGTGTACAATAAAAGATCATAAAACAATAAATACTGGCCAAACTGAAGTTATAAACATACTCTCATCTCACTCTGGCCCCACACAACTCTGTCAGGCAGCAGGCCTCTCCCATCCCCCGAGCTGTAGTCAGGGGCTTATCTTTTCACACCTCCCCCGAGTAAAAAAACAGAGACAGCCCTGTCAAAACTGGCCCAGACCAGTTGTGACTGGAGAGAAAGCACCTGTAATTTGCAGAGGTAAAAATGGCCAAATTCACAGCACTCCAAGCTATGGATCATATTTTAGCTGAAGGAGAAGTTACAGAGTGGCACAGTGACTCTGATGAGGTGGAGTCAGAGGAGGAAGACATTGTGGAGTGTCAGTCAGAAGACACAGACACAGAGTCTGAGGAGGAGATCACCTCTGAAGCTGTTTCCCCACCAGCTGAAGTACTACAGTCCAAGAATAGCAGCATCTCCTGGAGGTTAGTACCACCTGGCGAGACTCGCAGGGCAGCTGGCAGGGCAGCTGCTGAAAATATCATCAAAATGACTCCTGGGGTCACAAGGTT